TTGGTTGGGGGGGGGGGGCTTGCAAGTACAGCTCCAGAAAGACTGAAATTGTTAAATAGTGGTTAAGATTACATTTCAGGAACACTTAAAGCAGTAGTAGTTTTAAAAACCCTTTTTCAGTTTTGTGCATTTTAGCAAGAAAAAAAAACTGACTGATAATGATTTAACCCAGGGGTTCTCAACTCTGGCCCTCGAGGTCCACTTTCCTGCAGAGTTTAGCTCCAACTAGGGCTGGGCGATTTTTACGATTTAATGCTTTGCCACAATTTTGTTTTTTATAAATTGAGTATTTTTTATAGAAATATTATCAAACGTTAGAATTAGACACTTTGACAATATGCCAATGATAACAGTAAAGAGAAAATAATTATCCAACCCCATGTTGGCGCACGTGATTAACCGCTCATGTGTGACGCGCTCTGTGAAGGACCATAAGGTGCCATTCACACAGAATGCGCTTTTGTGTTGACAAAGATGCGATGCGGGCAGTGGAATAGGAAAAAAAAAAAGCAAGAAAATGGGAGTTGAACTTCTTTTAAATTGAGCGCAGCGTTTTTAGAATGCTGTTTCATGCATTCAAATAAAATATCAAAAACTCATCAGTTTGAGTGTATCCAATCTTTATCACCTGCAGGAAGGAACCTCTGCAGTAGAGAATCTGAATGAGATGCAGTGCATGTGGTTCCAGACGGAATGTGCTCTGTCCTACAAGTCTTTGAACAAATATGGAGAGGCGCTGAAGAAGTGCCATGAAATTGAGAGGGTAAGTCTTGCAGAATTAGACACTATCAGATGTTTATTTCAACTGTAGTTAGCAAACTGACATGGGGATACCTCTATGCTAAATCTTAAGCACAATGTTTATGCTAAATGTTTAGCACAATGCTAGTTTAGAGTTCAAAGTAGATTGGATCCAACGGACTGAAATACCCTGACACTTCCTTTTGTCGCTCACAGCATTTTGTGGAGATAACGGATGACCAGTTTGACTTCCACACATACTGTATGCGGAAGATGACCTTGCGTTCTTATGTGGATTTGCTAAAACTAGAGGACGTGTTGCGCATGCACCCTTTCTACTTCAAGACAGCACGTACAGCCATCGACATGTACCTCAGCCTTCATGATAACCCGCTCTCCGATGACAACAAGGAGTCGCAGGCCGACAATGGTATCATCATGTATAGAGATACACCGATCGACCGGCCAGGGACCGGAATCAGCCGATTTTCCGCACGATCGGCCCGGACCGGTGACTGGCCGGTCAGTCTCACATCTTGCCGATTCCGAGCTGGTCCGTTTTGATGTCACAACTACGCTCACATCCACATGTAAACATGTCGCCACCGTAGAAGTTCTTCACTGTGAGTGAAGAAGACACAATGTTCGCAATTTGTAATACGTGTAGGGCCATAGTAAACCGTGGGGGAACCACAGGGCTCGATTAACTCTTGTCTGGGACAAGTAGAATTTTTTCAAGGGGCAAGTGAGAGAGAATTTTACTTGCCCAACCAGATAAACAGTCTGATTAAAATATCAATAACAAAAATAACTAGGTAAGCACTGAAACTTGGCCACCAAAAAATTTCACCCGAGAATTATTCTGATTTTTTTGTATTCAGTGCAAGCATGCAAACAGCGACTGATGAGGTTTGCGCAGCCTGTCTCTCGGAGTGAGAGAGACAGACTTGTGCATAAATAAAAGCAAATCAGCACAACAGCACACACAAAGTAACTCACAGAACGTAATGGATGCATACTGCGGTACAAAAAAAAAATATTTATAATAAATGACATTACTACATTACATGACAAAGATGTTTCCTAGAATATTAGCAGGGTTGCAATGTGACATTAATCTTATACAATAATAGTTCAATAAACAAGAAGTTAAAATTAAGTGACTTACATTTTAGAAACAATATTGCTCAATTTCTCAAACAAAAATTGTTCCAATCAGAGCCACTGCAGAACTGTTATATCCTTGCTGAATTATTCCATGTTTTTTTAGCGAATCGAGTGAGTCAATGATTCAGTAACCCATTCATAAAGAGAGTCATTTGCCTCGTTTCTGAATGAATCACCCTTTGAATGAATCGGTTGAATGAATGACTAAATGACTCACTCATTAAAACAGTCTTTGGCCGCCACCTAGTGGCGGTTTGTTTTCATATTTAAAAGTATCATTGCATTTTTCCCAACATTTCTTATTTGTTCAAAAAAAATTTTTTAAACATTTATCTTATAACATTATTTAACATGATGATTATTTTGTGGTGTAAATGCATTCATGGCACCTCAGCTTCATCAAACAGTCTGTGTAAATACATCTAATGCCACTTCAGATGCAGCTTCTGTGTTTCCTGCAATGAAAGATGGAGTATGTTGATACTGATTTCATTTGAATGGTAACAACTCTACAGTTTCTTATTACTCTATATAAATTAATTGAATCAATGTAAGTATTGATGTAAAAGATGACGTATATTAAATAATGTTAGGGGAAAAAAGGCCCATTTATAAACCATGGAAAATGAATTCTGTTTTGTTATATACAGCAACTAATTTTCAGTTCATTGTTATTTATACCTCTTTCCAGTCACAGAGCACTTTATTTTGAGAGTTGCTTAAGTGAGAGAACATCTGTAACTTGGTCCAGATTGGGGGAAATTGTAATGTTTAATCATTTCTTTTGTATTTTTTTGCATTAAAAAAATAAAGTAGATTTTTGTTTGTACGTGCTGTCAGTTATAGTTCTGAAATTCGGAATCAGCAAAAATTGGTATCGGCAGGTCACACTTACAAAAAAATTTGGAAATCGGAATTGGCCAAGAAAATTGCAATCGGTGCATCTCTAGTCATGTACACAAAACACATTCAAACTTTAGAGGTCCATCCTTGCTTTTTGGAAAAAATTTACAGAAAAGTGAGGTGAGTTTTGTTTTCTTAACAATTGTTTTCTTCTGTAGCCAACCTAACGGACAAGGAGCTGAAGAAATTGCGCAACAAACAGAGACGTGCCCAAAAGAAAGCCCAATTAGAGGAGGAGAAGAAAAATGCTGAGAAAGAGAAACTGCTAAAAAACCAAAAGAAGAAAAAAGAAGAGGATGAGGAGGAGATTGGAGGACCTAAAGAGGAGCTCATACCAGAAAAACTGGCAAAGGTGCATATGTTGACAAAGCCACTTATACTTTAGAGGATAAAATATTTTGATTGTGTTCATCTGAATGTGCTGTTTTCTGTCTGTAGGTTGAGAATCCTCTAGAAGAAGCGGTAAAGTTTCTGACTCCTCTGAAGAACTTAGTAAAGAATAAAATAGAGACGCATCTGATGGCCTTTGAGATCTACCTCAGGAAAGGTGAGCATACTGATTAACTTTAACATAGTGATTCATAATGTTTCAGGATGCGTGATTTAAAACTCATAATGTGTGTTTGTGTTTGTAGAGAAGTATCTTTTGATGCTGCAATCGGTGAAGAGAGCTTACTCATTGGACCCTGATCACCCCTGGCTCCACCAGTGTTTGGTGCGATTCTTTAAAGGAGGTACATATAGTATATACTAATATACTTTCCTCACATGGGACAAAAACATACAAGAACATTAAGATTTGTTTTCAGTGTCGGACAGTAAGGACATGCCGGAGGCTGTGCAGACAGTTCTGAAGCAGGAGATCACAAAACTGTTTGGAGAGAGTGACCCCAAGACTTTCAACAAGAACTTCCTGAGCAAACATGCAAACTCAATACCGCACAGAGTTGCAGGTACCCAGTTTATGATATTAATGAATTTTTGGAAAACACTATATACTAGTGGTCTATGATATATCACCAAGGCCGATATATCAGCCAATATTTGGTATTTTTCAAATATCAGCATCAGCTGATAATTTTTTCTGTTCGGCCAATGTGTTCGAGGACTTTTATTTTGACGGCACTGAGAATGGCAGCACACAGCGCTCACATTCTCCCTCTTCATTGTTTGCCATTGCCATTTAACAGTTCTATCTAATATGGATAGAAGTCTATCTAATAATCAGAACTGTTAAAGGAATTAAAATGTATACAAAAAAGTATTATAACGATTGCTTTTATATTATTAGTATTAGAAAGGCAAATATTATAATGTTTTCTTGTTTACCGTCAGCTTTCAGCAAATACGTATTTATACGTATAATTGAAACAAATATTTGAATGTCTAATAAGCATTTAATTTCACAAACCTTGCAGTCGAATCCAGTTGTAAGATCTTTTGAAGTGTGCATGTATTCTGCATGATCGTGTGTTCTCTGCGTGACGGTCAGTCCATGTGAATTGAATGCGAACAGGAGGAGAGTTCAGCTTCACTGGAGACGCACGATTGATAAACTTTAAACTCGTGATTTCAAACTATACTGCACTTTATCCATTTGCCCACTGTATTCATGTCACTTTCACTGTGTGCTGTATGTAAAATGAGTGTTACCTTGGCTTTGCTTGGAAAAAATATGATTCCCAAAGCACACAAACTACTAAAAATACTGTAATAGGATTACAGAATCAAGTTGCCATCTAAAGTATAAGCATGTTTATTTTACATACTTTTCAAATTTCTTAAATATTA